CTAGTCTGAGCTATGTTGGTAGATGCAAACTACTTCTATAAATCCAGTGTTTATCTTGTTGTGCTAATGAGTAAGGTGTGGCAACTTTGACCGACGCATATGTGTGTCTGGTCCTACTTTGTGACTGACAACAATGAATATAGGGCAAAATATTGGAGCAGCTAAACCATAATTCATGTATTGCCTACAATAATATTGTTATAACTTGTGGCCTGAGTGCCCTGTTAATGTATAATGTAATGATACGGCCAATTAGAGAACAGTAATTTATCGACCGGACCGATGATGCATAAGACACATACGACCAGTCCAGAGTCCTTATCGGTCTTACTTCATGCCTAGCCCAGCCTGTTAAGTCCAGAACACCAATCTCAGCCTCTGTAATATGAATCATGTATTTCAAACATATGGGGTTTATATACCAATCAAACAGACTACATCGTACCATAAAATAGAAAATAACATTTGTACAAGACTTAGCCAAATGTGGCTGTGAACGTGGGAGGTAGTGATTAATAGGCAGAGCATAATTCAAGAATGGTAAATCGTGTAATGATATTTTATAGGTCAAAATAAAAGTTATGATAAGATGAACACGAATATAAATAGTTTAGTTATTTAACAATTATACGATAAAAATATACGCATAGTACTGGTCCATAAATGAGTCCCAAAAGTTACCATTCATCATGCTTATCGGGACCTAATAATTCTGAAAATAATCATGGTAGTGGAACAAGACTTGATTCGTAAATTGTTTTGACTGTACAGTTATCTCATTGTAAGAATAACCCATTCCAGTCTTCCTACATTCTACTTATAATCATCTACAATTGGAGAGAAAAAAACGGAAAATAGAGCACAGAACAAAAAAATGATTCTGATAGATCACTCGTCAAATATACACTTGATTATATCGTAATGTAATAATATGAATTTTATTTAGACTAATCAACTATTCTGACAACATCTTTACACCACTGAACTATGTTAATTATAGGTGTTCCACATCAATTTCTGACACGATTTGATCCCTGTCAACCGCTAGTCGCTGGTGGTTTATCCAGTGCTGAAGAAGCTTTCGGTTATCTACAAATTCGTTTTCGTACACATCGTTGGCTTAAACGTGTTCTCCGTTCAAATGATCCATTAACAGTATCAATTGGTTGGAGACGATATCAAACTGTTACAGTATTTTCACAAGAAGAGCATAATTTGCGTAAACGTTTCTTAAAATATTCACTACCTCATGAACATTGTCTAGCAACTATTTATGGTCCATTGGTACCACCAAAAACTGGAGTAATTGCTTTTGTGAATTCTGCATGGCAGTCAATTGATGATCCAAAAAATCCACATTTACCAGCTTTTCGTGTCGCTGGTACTGGTAGTGTTATTGATACTAATCAATCATTTCAAATAATGAAAAAACTGAAATTAATTGGTGAACCATTCAAAATTTTCTCAAAAACCGCATTTATTCGCGGTATGTTTAATAGTCCTTTAGAAGTGAGTAAAATGATTGGTTGTCGTATACAAACTGCTTCGAAAATACGAGGTGAGTACTTAATACAATATTGGATATTATTCCATTTGATTTGTATCTTTTCTTCTATTCAGTGTTCGTAACTTTTGGAATTATGAAAAGGATTTACAACACGTATAGATTCTGTAAACTTACTTACTTACGTCTGTTACTCCTCGTAAAGGAGCATAGGCCGCTCGCCAGCATTCTCCATCCAACCCTGTCTCAAGCAATCCTTTCAAGCTCTTTCCAGTTCTTATTCATCCTTTTCATATCTGATTCTATTTCCCGACATAATGCGTTCTTTGGCCTTCCTCTTTCCCGCTTCCTTTCAGGATTCCATGTTAGGGCTTACTCGTGATGCTGTTTGATGATTTGCGTAATATATGTCCTATTCATTTCCATTGTCTCTTCCTAATTTCCTCTTCAGTTGGAAGCTGGTTTGTTTTCTCCCACAGAAGGCTGTTGCTGATGGTATCCGGCCAATGGATGTTGAGTATTTTGCGTAGACAGCTATTGATTAATACTTGTACCTTATTGATTGTGGTTGGTAAATTAGATAATCTAATTACAAAGGTTTGTCGTTCTGCATAACACAGACAGTCCCTTCTTTATGTGAAATATATATGGTGAATAGAATGTACACTTCGTTAGTAATTACTTTGACTTTTACGTATACTTAAGAAATTCTTCCGTATAATTTTAAGTCAGAATTATTCAAATCAGTTGAAGTACATATGGAATGTGTCTAATTGGTTTATGCGTTTACTATTGAAAAATTCTAATGCTATCTCTTCTCACCAAGGTTTAGGACAACCTAAGAATAGTATCACTATCCCTTGAGCAGTAAATACAATTCTCATAGCTTAGTTTTATCCAAATCTGTACATGGATGAATCATATGACAATTTAATGATTTTTCTCTGTGTTATATTTCATTTCCAGTAAGTGTTTTTCTTAATTTTTCTCTTTTGCCGATCATAGGTTTAGTTAAAGCTGCATTAACTAATCCATCAACATCGAAACCTGGTGATTTTCGTGCTACATTTGAAGCACAAATTAGGAAAGCTGATATAGTTTTTTTGAGAACATTTTTCGCTGTTGAACTACCAAAATATTATAATCCAGTTCTTAATAGACTTTTACCTATTGTTGGAGAAAAAGATACAAATACTACAGGTTGGCGCTTACTTCGTACATTAGGTGAACTTAAATGGGAAGCTGGTATCAAAACAGAATGTAATCCAGATTCACAGTATAAAGTAAGTGTGTGATCTGTCAATAAGTTCTATTTATTTTTTGTATTACACTATGCTACTTATTTATTATTCAGTAGTTAAAATTGTTCCTAAATATTTATTCGGCTATCGACATAATACCAACCAGAAGTGGAAAACCTGGCAGCAGAAGGCTATGAAGGTCGACTTAAAGAAAACAGAAACAGAATTAGGAGGGAATTGTTAATCGGTAGAATCATGCAGAATGTTAAGAATGAATGATGAGAGTTCGCAAATAAAGTACTCAATATATGGTTCTTAAATTTCACCAAGCGATTCTGTAATTTTGTATTGGAATACATTTGGTTATTTTCACTTGTATCCTCGTTCACAACAGAAGTACTAACATTATCACTGATAATTTAAAGTATTAAGCCTTAATAAAACTATTAACGAAGAGAGAATAAGTTCATGGAATAAAAAGTGTAAGTATTTTAAGATCTGCTCTATTGCAAACAAGCTCTCACACACTTTTATTCTTATGAGAATCTCAATTTAACCTTTAGTCATACACTTAAAGTATAGGAATTTTAATTAATACTGCCCTTATCGTGATAATTACATGTAAAGATCTGTATTCATTATTATTATTATTTCTATATGCAGCCTATAAATCGTCCAATACACATTACTACACCTTTACGTATACCGACCAAACTGGCCGCAGCACTTCCATTTGCATGTAAACCTAAGCCATCACGTAAAGAAGCATTAGCTATGCTTGGTGGAGATCCTGTAAAAGCTGCTTTAAATGCTGAATTACCTCCTCCAGTTAAAACTGCTGATGAAATGGAATCAGAGTCAAGACAAGAATTAATTATGCGCCTACGTCAATTACACTCAGATTTTATGCAACGTCAAAAAGAGAAAATGATTAATCGTGTAACAAAACACAAGAAACAATTAGCTAAAGAAAATGCCATTAAAGCTGCTAATGAACGTAAAAGACGAAAACAATATTTTGCTCGTAGATCATCCCGTGGTGGTAAACGTGCTCGTCGATCAAATGGTGAAGACTAAGTAAATATACCTCAAAGAGCATTTCATACCTTGTACAGTATATAAATGATATTTCAATTTTTTCTGTTTTTCGCTTTCTACTTTGTGATTCGAAATATCCGATTTTGAATGGTTAAGTTGTTAGTTCTAAATCTCGTCCCATCTACTTCGGATTGAATTTATTTATTTATTTATTTATTTTAACACATAGATATTGGTACAAGGAGGCACCAAATACATATGCGCCACACGAATCTCAATTGATTTGTGTGAGGGCTGTGATACTGCCTGGGTGCCCAAACCGAAGCAGATGGTTTTCTTAGGGGGCCACACCCCGAGCCTTCGATTTGAAGGTCTGACCCACAAGGCAGTGGAGCATCGTAAGGAGATGCAGTCCATGGTAGCCGGTGACCAACGATTGGTTCATACGCCATTTGTTCCTTCAGGATACTGGAGCCGGCCCATGTGCACCATTGGTTTGGGATCCGGTTAAAGCCGGTGCCGGACATTCGCTTTTCGTCCTCTGATTTTCGTAAACAACAGTAATGCCACGAGAAGGCAGTGAGTAGGACTGCCCTGGCAGAGGCTGTATACGCGTGGCCATGTGAGAGCATTTCGAGAGGGAGAGCGGACTCTCCCCACTCTCGGCCATACCAGGGCATTTGGGGATTGAATAAATGTGATTATGATGATTAGCTCAAAGCCCCAAACACACGAATCTACAGTGTTGGTCATTGTGCTCAACTGGGATATTGATCACACGACGTTGGTAAATGAAATGTATTTACTCATCTGAGCACTGAACTCTGATAGCAAGACTTGTTCTTCGTTGTTGAGGTGGGAGATTCTAATACAACCACATAATTACTAATAGTACGAAGGTCGATTCGATGCACCCGGATAAACTGAACAGCACTTTGACTATGATACAGCCTGACGTATATACAAAAGGAGGTGACTAGTCTTTCTGGGATGGTTTCCGTATAACTAGTAAAGAGTAATCAGTCAGAAAACGGGTTAAGCTATACGTATCGTTTCATAATTGTTGTCACATGTTCTGTGATAAACAATGGTATCAATCTGAAATGATTAGAGTAAATGTATTTGAGAGAGGGGCGACCTTCAACATCGACAAACTCAGGCTGTTATATTAGAAGTTGATCACATAATCAGTCTGAAATTTAATGTTCGTTTGTGGATATAACTCATGTTATCTTAGTTTTTCTGTTTAGTTCTAAATCAAGTATAGAAATTCATCAGAAAACTCTTGTTCATTGAACCAACAATATTAGACAAGAGGATGAGCAGTTTCAACAAATCGATACCCTAAAACATTCGCGTCTAAACTTTATTATACAATTATATCTAGCTTTATTAATTTTCGATTATTTCCTGGAATAAACGTAGTCTAAAAGTTCAGATAATGTGTTGGAAATAATCAATGATTCATTGTAAGATGGTGGGGGAGGTTTGTTGCCCAGGTACATGATTTTGATGGAATTTTATTCTCTGAGCTGGATGGTTTAGTCACGACCAAACAAAACTCCATCGAAATATATCCATTATTCACTACATACATAGTTCCCAATGTCTATGGAACTATTCGTTTAGATTATCAACTATAATATTGGCATAATACAACACCATTTTTTAGTGTTCACTTAAGCGATTGTGAGAATATTGTTATTCTTGCGACGGACGGTATGTTTATATCTAAGAGAAACCAATTACATAAAACTAACTATCTAAACGATTGTTCCTCAGAGAAGACTCAAACTCGTAAAGTTAGGTACATTCATCATGACACGTAATGTTAAACCAGTCACTATTGAAACAAATTTTGATACTAATTGTAATACATGGATTTAGAATGTAATGTATTTGATTCTAGACTACGTTAGCTGTCTAGTGTTTCTTCGTAATTCTCTAAGGATTCGTTACCTGATATCGATTCTTGATGAAATCTGAAGTTTGTTCGGATAGTAAACCTGTACAATATGTTTAAATACAACTCTATTCAAGGCAGAATTGTTTTTTTTTTAAGATATCACCTGATATATTATTCTTGAAATATACTCATTGAAATACTGTTATAACATGTGATCTGAGTGCCCTCTTAATGTATACGTAATGATAACGCCAATTAGAGAGCAGTGAAGTATCAACTGGACCAGCGATGCATTATGCTTATAGGGACATAACATATACGATTCCTTTTTTTAACATTGATTAATTTCTATTGTTAATACGCAAACTTGGTTTCTCTAAAAATGTTGCAATCAGTCAGTCAGGAGCAAGCACATATATGCATCGCTCCAAGTCGCCACACCTTACTCATTAGCACAACAAGATGAACACCAAATTCATAGAAGTACTTAATTCAATGGTAGTAATATATAAAAGAAATATTTCATATAAGGAGATAGTACAGGAAGAAAAAATTATTTGGTGGAAAGGAAGATATGAAGCGATTTTAATTTCACGGTTTGATGGAAGACAGAGAGTGTGTACACATACGCCATTGTGATTGATTCTGAGCCGTCACACAGAGTATCCAAACATTGGTTGCGAAAGTCATACGGACCCTAACCAAGTAGTGTACATCTATCAACATGGCTAAGACTAGAAGTTAGTAACTTCAAGGACTGATGCCACGTTTTGGTTTGGCCACCCGGTTTCCAAACATTGGTCACAATACTCACGCTTTTCTTACATGTAAGCTACAAATTGAATAATGTTCCTAGATCTTATCTGCTCATATTTTATAACTGTCTATGATAGTTACTCGTATGGTTAGACTGTTCAGAATGTGTTATCTAGATGTATTATTACAATTCAGAAAATGAATGAATATACTACAAAGTATTTAATCGAATTAAATGTCTCACATTGTCGTGTCACACATAGTTTTGACCAGTTGTTGGTAATGACAATTTGATTCGACAGATCAAATCTATATGTTAACACTTTTTTGATTTTGTTGGTACATTTCTAAACAAAATATAATTAGTAATACTTATAGGGTGAAATTGACACCTTTTTACATACTATTTACGCCTGTTACCCTTCATGAAGGAGAATAGTCCGCTCATCAGCATTATCCATCCAACCTTTTCCTGGACAATCCTTTCCAGTTCTTATTCATCCTTTTCATATCTGCTACTATTTTCCGACAATGTGTTCTTCGGCCCTCCTCTTTTCCGCTTCCCTTCAGCATTCCAAGTTAGGGTTTATCTCGTGATGTAGTTTGGTGATTTCCTTAATGTATATCATAATTTCCTCCACAGTTGGAAGTTAGTTTTTCCTCTCCTACAGTAGGTTGTTACTGATGGTATCCGGTCAACGGATATTGAGTATCTTGCGTAGACAACTATTTATAAATAGTTGTACCTTTTTGTTGATGGTTATATTATGTTATCTTTATTTTTAAAAGATTGATCCCGTTCAAAATTTCAATTCACAATAGGAGTTAAGATGAAAAGTGTTTCATGAAATATCTGAGTCTTTTGTCTTTAATCTATAGTCGAATAGTAGTTTAACACTACTGAATAAGTACATACTAGAATGAAACAACTGTCCATTACCTTCTAGGTCTAATTAGTTGTTTCATTAAGATCAGTTCAAGATAATGAAAATATTAATATGAAACCAGTTAACTCAAATGACAAGGGACTGTCAAAATCTTTCTCATGAGTTATTCTTATGATTAAAGTCTTTTAAAATGAATTTGTGTGTGTGTGTGTGTGCTTGTGTAGATTAAAGAAACAGTTCTAGTTATAACTTACTGAGGTAATTTAAAATTTAGATGATCGATAAAGGTATTCATTTCAATTACTGAATGTGTATCGGGTACAAGGTTACAATAACTAATCGAATCTCATTTACGTAATCAAAATGTTCAAACTTAAACAATAACATAAATTCTCAACTATAAACACTGAATTGAATACCAAAATAATCAAAAAAATGATCGCAAATATATAACTTGTAATATGGGATTACTTCGTTGAATTCAGCAAAGAAAACTCTACTGGACTTAGGTTTCATACTACTGGACATCTGTAATCAGGGAATTTCATTCATTCATTTCAACACATAAGTATAGGTACAGGGAGGCACCAAGTACATATGCGCCACACGAATCTCAATTGATTTGTGTGAGGGCTATGATACTGCCCGGGTGCCCAAATCGAGGCAGGTGGTTTTCTTAGGGGGCCACACCCCGAGCCTTCGACCTGAACGTCTGACCCACAAGGCAGTGGAGCATCGTGAGGAGATGCAGTCCCATGGTAGCCGGTGACCAACGATTGGTTCACACGCCATTTGTTCCCGCAGGATTCTGGAGCCCATGTGCACCATTGATTTGGGGTCCGGTTAAAGCCGGTGCCGGACATTCGCTTTTCGTCCTCTCATTTTTGTAAACAATACCACCGCCACGAGAAGGCAGTGAGTAGGACTTCCCTGGCAGAGGCTATATACGCATGGCCATGTGAGAGCATTTCGAGAGGGAGAGCGGACTCTCCCCACTCTCGGCCGTACCAGGGCATTTGGGGGCGTAATCAGGGAATAGTCTCGATAAGTCTGTTACTCGAACGCATGATAATGACTTCACTTTCGAGATCCATATAATTCTCTTGCACTTGAGCTTCGAACGGTAGAGAGAACGTGTGAAATGAATATAGAAATTTTAGTCGAAGGTTCATTCATACAGGAAACACCAGTACTTGCAGGTTTTATTGAAAACGTAAGCTCAAATGACAGAGAAAATAATGGTCCAATCAAACAATCTATCGATCTTGTCGAAATCTTCGTGGCATATGCTGATTGGACGAAATGTTTCCAGTCTATTTTACTGGTTTCTGAAAACATTATTTAGGAAATCTGTGATCTATTCAGCAAGTCTTTATTGCTTCTCATCAATAGGTTTAATAGGTTTCTCCATTGAATGCTATTTAATGATCATTTCTATTCAAGAATAATGATTTTCTCATGTGATAAGTGGTTCAATGTCATATTGTTTTAGTTGAATATTGTGTATATTTTTTTAAAGAAAAGCCTTCATTCCCTAATCGATCCTAACCAGTAAATCATGATTTCTTCTTGTGATATATATAGAGATCCGTTTAAATCAACCCACGATATTGTTCAACCAAGATGGTTGGTTGATATTAGACATTCACACCGTTGGATGACGGCTCAGATGTCTAGAGTTTAAGCGTTCGGGCATGAGACCGAACGTCCCGGGTTCAAATCTCGCCTTCGGAGTAATAAATACACATTTCTGAGGAATCCTATACTACGACGAGACAGTAGTCCAGTGCTTCGAGGTTTTCATTGATGATCCAATATAAATTAGTTCATGATATCAATGTAATTCAACCATTTTCATAATTCCATACTGTTAATCTAAATTGATTATATAACTTATACATTCTGTAGTTGACAGGATTTTTTTAATAGTTAGCAGTAAACAAATATACAAAAAATACTATTCAATCTAATTGGAACAGTGCAACAAAGTGCTAGTTATGACTAGATTTGATTACAATTGACATTACTGTCCACAAATTTAAATGACATGGGTTCAAGGTAACATTACTTACTTACTTACTTACTTACTTACGCCTGTTAATCCAAATGGAGCATAGGCCGCCGATCAGCATTCTCAAACCCACTCTATCCTCAGACTTCCTTTCTAGTTCTATCCAATTATTATTCATTCTTCTCATGTCCGTTTCCATTTCTCAGCGTAATGTGTTCTTTGGTCTTCCTCTTTTCCTTTGGCCTTGAGGATTCCATGTAAGGGCTTGTCTTGTGACGCAGTTCAGTGCTTTCCTCAATATGTGTTCTATCCACTTCCAGTGATTTTTCCTGATTTCTTCCTCCAATGGGATCTGATTTGTTCTCTCCCACAAGGTAACATTACTTTCCTTAGAGTATCATATAGTTTAGAATTGTTATGATGAAACAACTGAGTTAGTAATGTACTTGAGTATCTCAAGATATTTAACTGATTACTTGATTACAAGATGGATCCTTTTATTTCAACTAAATATATATCAGAAGAAAGAATCATTGATTTACTGGTTAGGATCGATTAGGGAATGAAGGCTTTTCTTTAAAAAAATATACACAATATTCAACTAAAACAATATGACATTGAACCACTTATCACATGAGAAAATCATTATTCTTGAATAGAAATGATCACTAAATAGCATTCAATGGAGAAACCTATTAAGCCTATTGATAAGAAGCAATAAAGACTTGCTGAATAGATCACAGATTTCCTAAATAATGTTTTCAGAAACCAGTAAAATAGACTGGAAACATTTCGTTCAATCAGTATAAGCCATCAAGTGATTGCCTTTAACTTCAAACTATAATAAATATTCAGATAGTGTGTTTGTAAAATTGTGATTTACTTTCATTTCGATCTGATATCAACTGAAGAATTCTTAAAATCTACAGTGCCATGGTAACATTACACCCCCTTATTTCAGAAGGGGTTTTGTGGAGATTGTAGTAATTTCAATGATTAAGATCATGAGTCAGTCTAAGCTAGACCACCATGGAAAACCTACTATTGGACTCCTCAGCAGTGCGCATCCATGACCTCGCCCCCTGCGAGTTTCGAACCCAGGACCTACTGGTTTCGCGCGCGAGCACTTAACCACTAAACCACTGAACTGGCCGGCATCCAACGGTGTTAATCTCTAACTTCAACTAATCCACGAAATTGGGCGACACATTCACCATTGTCTTCAGTGAGTTACTATCTCACAACAGACCTGGTTGAACTCCACTGGTCACTACTTCTCACTAGAACTTCAGGATATACCTCTTGAAGCCAGTCACTAGTGAGCATATGTTGATTATTATCAGAAGGGATTTTGTGGAGATTATAGTAATTTCAATGATTAAGATCATGAGTCATTCATTATTCCAACACTTTCTGAATTCTAAAATTACACCATTCATAACTGACTGATTTCAATTCATATCTTTTCTTATTAACATTAATCTATTTTCAATTACTTCATTACATAATCATCTAATGTTTGTTAATTCCATGGATTCTAATCACTATTTCAATGTTCTGAAACAGTCCATCCCAAATGAAATTTTATGACCTCATTAACTCTATCGTAATCTTTGCTATATCATGATACACATATATTCATCAATTAATCAGCCTCTTATGTATAAGTATGTCAATATCTATAATAACATCGACTTCAAAAATACCATAGATTTTAACCAGCTGTGTTGGGGTATTCAGAAAATACCCCAGAAATTATCTAATGCTATTCCTGAATGAGAAGTAGTGTCATTTCCCCATTGGTCAACATTCTTCCAACGTGTCATTTCCTTATTGGTCAATATTTATTTGTGTCATTTCCTGAAGGTTAAATCTTGTACAAATGTTACTTTCTATTTTATGGTACGATGTAGTCTGTTTGATTGCCATATAAACAGAGTATGTTTGAAATATAATGATTCATATCTCCGAGGCTGAGACTTGTGTTCTGGACTCAATTGGCTGGGCTAGACAGGGAAGCAGGACCAATCAGGACTCTAGGCTGCTCGGTCGTATCTTGTGCGTCACTGTTTCGATCGATAATAGGCTGCTCTCTAATAGGCGGATCACACGTTATAACAAGCTGACGAGGACTTAGCGACATAAAATGAATCCATTCATTATTCTGCATCAATCTTTGTTCTTGCTCTTTTTAAAATGAAAGATAATTGTTTCGTTTTAATTAGTGACAGATGAACAATGCGCTACTATGATTACAGATAAAAGATAAAACTTAAGATGTTCATTTATTCAATGAATCTAACATTTTAAGATCAGTAAGTTAACATCCAAGAAGGTACAAGTATTTATAAATAGTTGTCTAAGCAAGATCTACGCAACATCTATTGGCTGAATACCATCAGCAACAGCCTACAATAGGAGAGGACAATTAGCTTCCAGCTGAAGAGGAAATTATAAAAAGACGATGGAAATGGATAGGACGGAAAGCGGAAAAGAGGAAGACCAAAGAATATATTCCGTCGGGAAATAGAAGTGGATATGAAAAGGATGAATAGCAACTGGAAAGGATTGCTAGGACAGGTTTGGATTGAGATTTCTGGTGGACGGCCTATTCTCCTTCACGAAAGGTGACAGGCGTAAGTAAGTAAGTATATCGAGCAACACTCATTGATACTAAATCTCTATCAACCTCCTAATATTATCGAACATTTTCAATTTTTATCTAAAGGGGTTTTGTGGATATTATATTAATTTCAATAGTTGAGGTCATGAGTCAATTGAAGCTAGACCACCATGGAAAACCTGGAACAACTGGACGGCTGTTCCGTCCTATTGTCTGACTCCTCAGTAATACGCATCTACGATCCCGCCTCGCGAGATTCGAATCCAGGTCCTATCAGTCTCATGCGCGTGCGCTTAACCACCAGACCACTAAGCCGCCATGCAACGATTTTGCTTTTCCTGTAGAACTTTAAGAATTGGTCCTAAAGCTTAATAATAATGAATGTGCATAATTGAAAAATAAGTTAATTTATTTATCAAGTACAAATTTCTATACTCAACTTTGAGTGACACTTTTTTTATGAGGACTAGTAGTGGTAGTACATGGTTACTTAAACCGAAATAGATGAAACGTAATTTAAACTGATTGTCTAATGGTTGAAAAATCAAACGCTTTAAGCATACAGCCACCTATTCTACAAATATTAATTCGCTTCTGCCTGGTTTAAAATGAATTTTCAGTTGATGATCAATTTACGAAACATTAATTTCCGAGAATCGGGTAAGTTTACTGTATGTTTCAAATGTTTGACAATCAAAATCTAACCTGTACTAATTAAAAGCTGTGACCAATGGAGTTCAACTGTTTCGAGTGTGACACAGTAACTGGATGAATACAATGGTGGACGGTGGCTCGAATTAGTGGATTGATTGAGTTTAGACATTAACACCGTTCGATGCCGGCTCAGCGGTCTACAGTTTAAGCGTTCATGCGCGATGTCGAATGTCCTGGATTCGAGTCCCACAAACGGGATCGTGGATGCGCACTGCTGAGGAGTTCCATACTAGGAAGAGACAGCCCTTCAGTTCTTTCAGATTTTCCATGATGGTTTAGCTTTGATCCACTCATGAATTCAACTATTAAATTAAAAATAAGCGTATATTCGTAAAATATTTGAAAATTCATTTTATTATACGTTTTGGCTATTGTAAATTTAATTATCATAAAATGTGAGTAGGCATAAATTTGAAATTCATCCACATGTTGAATGTTTGATATGATCGTATTCACCTCATTGAGTATCAAACGTATCGTACTCATTATTATGTCTCAGTCAGTTAGTTATATCGTAGGAGCAAGCATATATATGCATCGGTCCAAGTCGCCACACCTTACTCATTAGCACAACAAGATGAACACTAAATTCATAGAAGTAGTTAATTCAATGGTAGTAATATATAAAAGAAAGATTGTATATAAGGATATAATACAGGAAGAAAGAATTATTTGGTGGAAGGAAAGATATGAAGCAATTTTAATCTCGTAGTTTAAGAGAAAACATCATTATGACCGATTCTGATCCATGTCACTTAGAGTCTCCAACCATTGATTACGATAATCGCGTGGACCTCAATTAAGGTTTGTGCATCTACCAACATGTCTATCATGAAATTTAGTGTTTTATTATTCAACTATTCGACTTACTTAAAACAACACTTGGCAAATCTATGTAATGAACAGAATATTCTTCTTTATCCATATATACATATATGTCTATATTCATTATGCAATACAATCACAATCACACGATGAATAAAATCATCTCCATATCTTTGTTGAATAATGAAATGTATTCTTAATATTTCTATATGAGTATTGTTTGGTATATTCTAATTAAGTTTCACAAGGTTACCATCACGTAGTCATTGTCATGATCTTTCGAGATTATTTTATAATGTTTAATCACCTAGATACTGATGATCATTTTGTTAAATAATGAAAACAAACAAATTAGTTACTAAGATCTATAGGATAATGTATATTGTGTAATCAATAAAACTAAGAAAGAAATCCAATTCCTACAACTGTTTACAATTCAAAACACAAGAAAAACTCAATTATAATCTAATCATCAGTTTAGGGGTTGTAGAGATTGTTAAGTTTTTGATTGAGATCATGCGATCACATAAGAAAATCATTATTCTTGAATAGAAATGATCACTAAATAGCATTCAATGGAGAAACCTATTAAGCTTATTGATAAGATACAACAAAGACTTGTTGAATAGGTTATAGATTTC